AAATGGAAAGAAAGTCAAAAGAAAGAGAAACGAATAAAAAAGGAAAGGAGAAAGAAAAGAAAAAAGACAAGTAACAAAAAGAAAGAAAAATGAATAAAGAAAAAAAGAAAAAGAAAGGAACGGGAAGAAAAGAAAACAGATAAAAGAAATAAAGAAAATGAAAGAGAGAGAGAGAGAGAAAAATGAAGAAAGAAAAAAGAAGAGAAGGAAAAGAAAGTTAAATTGAATAAAAGAAAAAAAAGAAATAATGTAAAAAGAAGTAAAGAAAAATGAATAAAGAAAGAAAGTGAATAACGAAAGGAAAAACGAGAAGGAACAGAAAAAAATAAAAAAATAACAAAAAAGGAATAAAGAATTCAGAAAAGATTTACTATAAAAGACAGATCAAGAAAAAGAAAGAAAAAAAGAAAGAAAGAGTATATAAAGCAAACAATAAAAGGAAGGCCGGATTATGGGAAGAAAGAAAAAAAGAAAGAAAGAAAGAAGGAAAGAAAGAAAGAAAGAATATATAAAACAAACAATAAAAGGGAGGCCAAGTTCTGGAGAGAAAGAAAGTAAACAGAAGAGTGAGAAAGAAGAAAACGAGAAAATACAAAGATAGAAAAGAAAAGAAAGGATAAAAATTCAACAAGATCAGAAATGCTAAAATAGTGGGGAGGGGGAATGATGCATGTACGTAGGTAAATCAATAATTCCGTAGCCTAAACGAAGAAGTATTTATATTACACAGGTAAACAACGAAGGAGATTATGTTGAAAGATAAATCTCTTTCAACATAATCTTTTCCCTTGTCAGTACTGTTTGTTCTGTAGCTAATTTTGATTACAGATCTCAAACATTATACACTGAACATTTCAGATCAAAATCCATGTCATCAATACGGCTACGGACGTACTGATCCAATTTTGTATATAAGAAAAAAAGAGGACAAAAAATCAAAGTGTGAAATAATAATATTAAAAAAAGAATGCGTGAATAGACAGTAAAAACACATTACAAATTTTGAAAGGCATGAACTCGGTCTATCTTAAACTGTTTCATATTTTGTTACTAATAACGTACTAAAAGGACAAGGAAAGAAAAGTCATGATATTGTGCAATTATATTTTATGCGCCAATTTTTTAATTAATGATCAATCTCTGCAATTATAAAAAAAACCGTGGAATAAGTAACAAAAACAATAATGTTACTAAGAGAACGAGACTGAAATAGGTCAAATAGTAAATCTGCTGGTTTCACAATAAAGCTAGTAGAAAATACAGTGCAGTAAATCTGAATGTGGATATATTCACGACCTTTGGTTTGTTAGGCCAACACGTTAACCACTAAGCTATTGGCAGGCAAAGAATTGCGACAAAGATATTTAAAAAGAGAGAATGCATAGAGGAAGCGGGCAAAAACGTACGAATAGGGGGGGGGGACGATAGAGAACAAGAAACGGAAATAAGTAGAGAGGATGAAAATTGGAAAATTGTTGAGAGAGTTTCGAGAGAAAAACGAAAGTAAAACCTTTGGTGGATTTAGTACACCCACAATAACAGAGAGAGAGAGAGGGGGGGAGAGAGAGAGGGGGGGAGAGAGAGAGGGGGATTAGAAAAGAGAAGGAAGAAAAGGCCTCAAAGTTGGAATAAGAGTCGTAGGCGGAGCCAGTGACACAGAGAAAACTGGAGAAAACGCGAAGATGAAGCAAAAGGGCAGTATAAAGAGAGTAAAAGAAAAAGGGACGAACGGAAATGAACACATTCAGAAACAGTAAGGATTAGAAAAGAAGAAAGTGATGTTGAGAGAGTAAAATGAAAGCGAGTAAGAGGAATGTCACGCAGCAGAATGAAAGTGAAAGTGAAAGTGAAAGTACTTGAGAAAAGCATAAGGTGTGAAAAATATTCGGGCAACATTTAGAAATAAAAGGAAGAGGACCAGATGAATGGATAAAAACAAAACTACTGATTAAATGGAAAGAAACGGAAAAAAAGGGGAACCCAAAATTTTCGAAAAGGAAATTTCGAATTTGGCGGGTCTGTAGTGGCACGAGTGATGATAAACGTGCGAGTGAAGCTGCCGATGAAAAGATAGGACAAGTTGCCGGAATTCTTGTAATGCGGCAACGGCAGGAATGAAGGAACTGGTGCTAGGGAAGAAAACTGGGAATTGTTAGTGGCACGAAGAAAGGGAGGGAAAAACGTGTCGGTTGCAACAGTTGACTGATATTGTAATGATGAAGTGAAGAAGACGAAGAAGAAAAAGAAAAGGGCGGGAGAAATTGAGTAGTGCAGAAATGGCAGCAGTCAGGAAGCCCCGTTTAGGAAAAGAGGGAAGAGAATGGTTTCCGAGTTAAAAATGTTGAAAGCAGAGAGAAAGGTTTGGAGAAGGAATCGTAAGGCCAGTGTAATGGAAAATGATGGCGGGTGGTAGCCAACACAAACACACACACCTACACACACATTTGTAGATGTGTAAGGGCGCATGGATGTATTATACATTAGGTTATATTAATATTAA